TTCCTGCTACCACAGGGGAACTCGAGGTATTCAGAAACTGGATCTGACCAGAGCACCAAAGCTAACAGCAATGAAAAAATAACCCCAAGGGAATCAATTGTATTTATATATCATCCAAGAGAGAAGCACAGTCTTCATATCACGTTAGGAAAACAAAAAATCACAAATTTCCTCTGAATTATATTAGTAAAGCCTTTGAACCCTAACAACAAAAATGCATGCTCATGAAGGCATACATACAAGCATGTCTTTTCGCTTTCGTCACACTAAATATCCCATTCAAACATTCAAAAATCACAACATTTTATATGTTATTACTGATTCAATTCATCAGTCGTTCAGCACCAACTAAGTAGCTCTAGTGACAACAGCTACGCCAGGACTGCAGCTGTTAAGAAGACCTTGCGAAGGAACACTTTCAGTCTTTAAGCGTGCTTATGGAGAACCTGTGTTTCTGTAGAATCTCGGTCTTCCAATTTACAGACTAATCTGCAAAGCAGCAAACTTAATTACGGAAGCTGCAAAATAAAAATGGGAACTGCTGTGTGCAAGCCAACTAAGAGGTGCAGGCCAGCAGAGCTCTACTGCTCTTCTCAGTGCCTGTGTTGTTCTCTGGGTGAGAAGACCATTCACAAGTTGCAGCAGAGCTCTGTTCCCGCCTGTTGGACTCACTCACATAACTTGAGAGTACAAAGGCACACCTTGAAAATGTTCTGGAACATGTACAGATCCCAGTGTTGCATGTCAGAAGTGGAGAACACAAGAGACAGAAAAGGTAATAGTGAGGGATAATGCCTTGTCATTTCCTGGAAATACACACACACACATACACCAACAGGTTCCCCAAACTGTGTTAGGTGGCCCTTCAGAGGGTGTAAACTCTTGCAGTTGCTTAGATCTGCACCTTATAAGGCAGCAAAGATTCCACCTTAACACAAAGTAGTAACATTTTTGGCTGCTCTTGGGAATATTTGCCATTTCCTCAGAGGTTTATTTTGACTTCTCAACTTCAGTATTGCTGTGCTTACTGATAAGTTCCAAGACATCTTCATTTTGAACTCAACTTCTTGATCCATGATCCTTGCTAAAACAATAAGCATTTTATACTGCTCTCTCAGAGTGACATGGCTGACACCAGTAAGAAATCGAAAAACAGCCAGGGTACCTAGCAGAGTCAAAACAGCTTCACAATGCCTTTAGCAAAAGGAAAAGTACAAAGGGTTATGTATAGGTCCAAAACGAAATTTGGAATCTAGTAGATGAATAGTGCTCTAGAAATTGTTTTCAGGGCATGGAATTCACTGTAAGATGAGGAAAGGCCTTAAATTTAATGAAACACAGAAAAGTGAGGTGGACTTATAAACCTTTTGGTGTGTTTCAGTAACAACACACTGCCCATGGTGTAATAGTGAGAAAGAACTCAGCCTTTTTTAGATTCAAGAGTCCGTTTACAGTGCTTACATTGGAAAATTATGCTTTTGATTTGTAAATGGAACTAACTGAGTATAGGAATTATTCAGACAGAAAACTTATGGAAGGGCCATTTTCTCAAGCTGCTTTTCTGATTGCAATCCCTTGGCACAAACATGCAGAAAATTGCTTTCTTCCAAAATAGGAAAATGGGTCTCTTGGACTGTGGCTCATAAAGAGAAAAGGGGAGCAGAAATAACTACATTTTTGTTCTGCTTAAAAATGAGTGTAGCATGGAAGTTAAATCCAAACCTGAGGCCTTTCAAAGATGGATAGTAATAAGTGCCATAAGCATTAAATTAAAAATAAAAACGTCACACAGAACCCAGAGGCATTTTCATCTAGAAGTTATTACAGGCCTGGATTTAACAATGAATTCCATTTGACTTCGAGTTAACTGTCTGAGCTGCAAGTATTGAGGCCTAGTTTTCAGATTCCTCATAGCATATACTACATTTTTTAAAATACAGAAAAAAATGGAGACGTATTTCAGAGCCCGGTCTGACACACTGGTTCTCACACAGCTGTCTAAGAACTGACCTGATTACTACTCAGTGCCAGCTCTCCTTGTTTCCAGCTGCTAAATCCCATTAGGAGCAGCTAAAAATACATTAAATACTTTCCTAATATTACTTTTGTGTATAATCAATTTTCGTAGTTGTCATATGGATAAGAGACGAAAAAGCTGGATCAGCAATAAAATGATCTCCTTTCAGAGATGTGTTCAGCAAAGTCAGAACACACACAATCTTTGACTTCTGGGGTAATCAGGCACCTAATACCCATAAGGATTTTTCTCCTAAATTCTCAAGCAGAGCACTGGCTCTGCTGTGATTAATTGTGAAGTTTCAAGACTGATTAATTTCCTAGTATCACAATCCTGCTCTCAAACCGATGACTAGCTGAGACCAGATGAAAAATTCTGAGCCTCTGCAATTTCTGTTGGAACACTTCTGCTTTGAAAGTGGGATATGAGTCAGGCAACTGCTAGATTATAGTCATCCATTACAGTCCATTGCGGAGGATTGTGGAGAAAAAGCATAATTTCCAAACAAAAATCACTGACTGCTGCTGAAGTGAAACGGAGCCGTGGAACCCACTTATATATGAAGCTACAATGGTTTGCCAAGATACACTGGAGCTGTAGGACAGTGAGTTTACAGAGAGGCAGTGAGAAACAGGAGAGGTTTGACTCAGATGTTGATTTGAAAAATCCAGAAGCAACAAAAAACAGGACAAATCAAGTCAGTAGCTGGACAACACAAAGAACACTGAAGAAGCAATGGCCAGTACAGGTAACCTAGGGCACAGAGACTCCCATGTACCAAGAGCTGTTTCTTCCATTTTAAGGGAAACTAGATACAGCTGCTGGAACTATTCAGCATGAGTTTTTATTTGGAAATTATGGATTTTTGCAATTCAGCATCTTGATAACAGTTCCAATCACAGGATAAGAATCGATGTCTGTTAGATAACAGTATTGTTGCACCGAGATCCTGTTTACTCCCAGTTTTGCATCTGGCCTCTCCAGAAGGCTTGGCTTGTTTCCGATGCAGAGATTAGAATACAGGAATTCCTTAATTAACTTCACACAACCTCTGACACAGGACCTGAGGCCTCTGTACATGGAAGATGACGTGGAGAATCAGTAATGACAATACAAGATACACATCCTCCCTGCACTTCTAGTTCCTTACCAGAGAGAAACAGAAGGTGGTTACAGAACTCTGCATCTGCTCTCGTTGGTATCAGTGCAATGGTGTTTCTGTGGCTCTGACGAAATGTGATAAGAAAGAAAAAAAATCTACACAAGACAGATGCTAACTAAACAAAGAAAAGCATATAAACACACCACCACCACCTCCCCCCTGAAAAACACAAATCACGGTCTTTATCGCTTGGGAAAAGATGCTTTAGACCAGCTTACGCAGGCACACAAACAGAACATAATCTCAAGTGAAGGCCCAGTCTGTGGATGAAAAATCAATGTACACCCACTAAACCATCTGCAAGGCTCTGCCTCAACAGGAATATTTCAGCCCCCGTGGATGTCAATGAAAAGTTCACATTGGATCAATTAGTATAATCACAGCCTCAAGTGTATCCTGCCAACAGAGGGACACAAAAACTCTACTGGGAATGGCACAGGATCATGAGCCCTTTAGGCAGGAGCACAGCACAAGGGCATTTTCCTGCTCACAGACATCGCGTGCTGTGTGAGAACTCACAGTGCAACAGACTGCCCAAGGGGCTGTGGAGTCTCCCTCACTGGAGATATCCCAGAGCTGTCTGGGCACAATCCCATGCTATGTGTTCTGGGGTGACCCTGGAATGGGCTACCCAGGGAGATGGTAGAGTCACTGTCCCTGGAGGTGTTTAAGAAGAGACAGGATGTGGCACTTGGTGCCATGGTCTAGTAGACAAGGTGGTGTTGGGTCAAGTGTTGGACTCAATGATCTCAGAGGTCTTTTCCAACCCAATTGATTCTGTGATTCTCTGCTTGGGCAGGGAGGTTGGGCCAGATGACCCACTGTGATCCCGTCCAATCTGAACCAGACTGTGAACTGTGCTGGAACCTTTGTGTCCACACACTTTACTGTCGCTGCCAGTACTCAGAAAACAACCCATGAGTTTTATCCACCACCCAGCCTTGCTCAGGAGGTTCCTCTGGACAGGGGGAAGGCCGGACCGCGGGTCCACATCCCCCGAACACCCAGCGCTGTGTCCCGCCGGCTCCTGGAAACCTTTGTTTTAAAGGAGCTGAGGAAAAACCGGCGGTGTGATGCTGCAGAGGGAATATCAGAGCCCGGGAACACCAGAGCCCTGGAATCCTATAGCCCGGGATTGCCAGAATGTGGGAAACTGAGCCTGGGATCCCAGAACCCGGGAATGCCAGAGCCCGGGAATCCTAGAGCGCGGGAATGGCAGAACATGGGAACCTCAGAGCCCGGGAACGCCAGAGCCTGGGAATCCTATAGCCCGGGATTGCCAGAATGCAGGAAACTGAGCCCGGGATCCCAAAACCCGGAATGCCAGAGTCCGGGAATCCTAGAGCCCGGGAACGCCATAACATGGGAATCTCAGAGCCTGGGAACGCCAGAGCCCGGGAATCCTATAGCCCGGGATTGCCAGAACCCAGGAATGTCAGGGTCCGGGAATCTCGGAGTCCGGGAACACCAGAGCCCGGGAACGCCGGAACACAGGAATAGCAGACACCTGGAACGCGGGAACCCGAACCCTCCCTCACACCGGCCCCGCCCCCCTCCCTGGCCACGCCCCATTAGCCGTGGCCACGCCCCCACGCGTTCAAACCTCCTCCTCCCCCGCCCCTGCCTCCCGCCCTCGCCAAGTCTCGCGAGAGCGGATCCGCCCGGCGGGCGCGGGCCGCGCGGTGTCGTAGGGCCGCTCGCGCAGCCGGGGCCCCGCCCCCCGCCCGGCGGCCCCCGCGCGCCGCCCCGAGCCCGGAAGCGCCGCCCGGCCGCGCGCGCCGGGACCCCTGTCCCGGGAGCCCCGGCCCGCTCCCGGCCCTGCCCGGCGCCCCTTCCCTCCCCTCAGGAGCAGCGGGGAGGACCCTGCGCCGCGGCCCCGGGGCACAGCCGAGGGGCGGGAATGCAGCCGCCGGAGCCGCAGCCGAGCCCCCAGCGCAGCACGGTGAGGGGGGGGCGGTGAGGGAGCGGGTGGGGTTGTGGGGGCGGGCAGGGGGTCGGGAAGGGGCGCTCGGGGGGACACCCCGCGCTCCCCCCGTCCCGCCGGGCGGGGAGCGTCGCCGTGTCCCCTTCCTGCCCGGGAGGGAGCGGCTGGAGCTGCCCCGGGAGCGGGAGGTGTTCCCAGCCCCGGGAGCGGGGGGTGTCCTGCCCTGCGTGGGCCCGGGTGTGGTGCCGGGAGGCGGCTCGTGTTGATCCTGGCTCCTGTTTTGCTGCCGCACTCCCACGCAGCGCCGAGCAGGGAAAACTTTGGTCTTTGTTTTTGGAGCCCGGGGATTCCTCCTGTGCGGGGTGTCCCCCGTGGCGTCTGCTGGGCCACCGATGCTGCTCTTGCAGTTTTAAAAAAAAAATAAATTAATAAAAGGCAAATAGATTCACAGGTAAAGGCTGCCCCTGCCCCTCGGACGTGACTGCAGCAGGATGATGCTGCTGCCGAGCCTTGGCTCCGGGGATAGAGAGGCCCCCAGAGGTAGCGAGGCCTCGGTTTTGCTCTGTCCAGAGTCTTGGCTTCGGGTCAGGTTTGAGATCTTATCACTTGTTTGTATTGGCACCGGGGAAAACGAGCTCAGGTTTCATTTTGGTTTGTTTTTCTAATATAGGTGGATGTGATGGAAGGATGTACCTTGTATTTAGGGCTTGATACTGCTCAGTGTTAACATTTGGCTGCAGTCACTGTGCTTTCCCCTTGTTCAGACATGATTTGTAACGTGATAGTGGCTCTTGTTTTCCTTGCTTTAGCAAGGAGAAAACAAGGAGAGGAAAGGCAATTGCTTTGGTGGCTTGGGAGTAACAGTACTTCAGGGTAGAGATTCCCTGCCTCCAAAAAACCGGAGTGGCTCAGATAAGGCAGACTTGGAAAGTAGTGGGAAAACTTAAACCAAGACACTATGTTCAGGTAAACATGCATTAAACTGTCTCGGAAGGTCTCAGTGGTAACCAACTTGAAGATGTTATTAGTGGTCTATTGATACCTTTATAGCTAATGAATGCAGTAGATATTAGTTAAATAAATTGGCTAAAGGCTATTTGTGGTTGCTTTTATAATAAGTACATTTCAAGATGTTTAAGCTCGATGTTACAGAGTAGCTTTTCCTTTTCCCCTCTTATTGTGTTCTAAGTAAATACTGAGAGTGGTCAGGTCAACCCATCCTGCTGATGTATTGATATGTGTCTGTTATTTTTAGTGCAGGTGTTTGCTGTGACAAAGTTGAGTAGTATTTCTTTATGGGCTCATGTTCTGTGGCAGGTCTACTTGACCATTTCTGTTTTCAGAGCGCTCTGTCTAACAGAACTCTTAAAAGTTACAGGTAAAGCTTCTGTGGTCAAAGGCCAGTCACTGTTCTAGTAACTTTAATTTTGTTTTCCAGATCTGTGAGAAAAGCAATACTTTATTCTGCCTCTCTGCAAGTATATTTTCAGTTAACATATTTCTTTTAAAAAGAAGAAATGTTAAATTCATTTCCTCTTTGTAGAGAGAGAGGAACAGGATTTTTAAAAATAAAGTGTTTCACAACATTTGTTAAAGCTTGCCCTTTGTCCTATGTTGTGAATGGTGTCTGTTGATAGCAGCAATCTGAGGAATGCCATAACAGCCTGTGTTAATGTATATATGGACTGTCTCAGTTCATAAAACTACCAAGGTGTCAAATTTTACACACTTTATTAAAGGATAATAAGATCAGCATTTAGGTCTACCTTTAATGGTAAATATTTTGGTTTAGGTACAGTGAGTTGAATAAGTGTGAGGAATTCTTGCTATGATTTTATACTTATGATGTATTTTCATTTATTTTCATCTGGCTTGGGTCATAACCTTTGCTATAAGTGATTGCAGATAAATGTAAAGAGAGTATTGTGAGATTTGTGGCTGTTCTTGTTCTTTCCTGGGTCTCACTGAGGTTCCTTTTTCCTTCCATTAGTTGTCATCTTGAGGAAGACAAGGGAACTTGAATAGATGTAGTGAAAACGTGTCTTCTTTTCCACTCAGCTTTGGTGATATGTCTGTGCTGATGTCTGTCAGTTGAGTTGCAGAGTAAAGAGTAATCCTAATGGAAAAGGATTCCTTTGAAGTCATCCAAGAGAATACATTAATGTGATTCTTAAGGTTATCCCATAGTAGCTTGTCTCCTTCTGTCCCCTCTCAAAAATTATGTAGCAATGAAATGAAGTTCAGTTTTTGTTTGCACTGGTCTGTAGTCGCTTTCTCCTGACTTCAAACCTATGATGATTCATTTTGTATGTATTTTTAAATAGCATAAGTAGCCTCAAAGTATGACCTGCAAAAGTATTCTTGGTTAGGGCAAGAGTTGTGTACTGAAGTATAGGAAACTCAGATGTTTTATTGAGTTATTTTTCAAAGAGCTGTATCTCCATGTGGGATGATAGCTCACATCTTTACTTCCACAGCTGCAGTGTTTCAGCAAAATCACTAACAACACAAGCAAAAGCCTTTGATTTACTTCTTTGACACCAAAGTTATTTTTGAGGTGATTGAAACATTGAGTAAATGATCAAATCTAGTAAATTTTGGGTAATGTCAAGTCTGTCTTGTGTGCTTAGTCATCCACCTGAACTATGGTATGACACATTTTGCTCCAGGAGCATCTGTATGATGCTGCTGTTGCCACTGCTGGGAGCTGAAGTAGGAGCAGTGCCTGGTGTGTTTGTACCTGTGTCTGCACACAGAAGGTCAAGTAAAGTGCAAGTACGGTTATTTGCAGTGAAGGAATCACTTTTGTTACATGGTATGTTCATGGTTAAAAGGCAAGTGACAAATGGAGTGTGAAATTAAGAGACAGTTCATACAAAGCCTGAAACAGTTTCATAAGCACCTTTTGGACTACTTTTGACTGCAAGTGTTTTAAATTACACAGTAGAAATATCTGTGGCTTGTGGGTTTGCAATATTTTTTCCTGTCCATGTTGCTGCCCTTACTCAAACAGAAAAATAAAGCCAAACTGAAAAGTGTTGGTGCTGCATAGTACAGCAAACTGTTATTAGGGATTTACTTTCAAATCCCTGACAAACTTTTCTGGTTTTGTCTTTTTTCTTGCAAGTTGAAGCTTTTCTTCAGCTATGTAGGTAATACAAATTTTCTGCAGACTGTTATTTATGTATGGGCACAGTAGAGTAAAATATTGTCTGAGAGGTGATATTGGCTGTCTTGTTCTCCTGAAAGACCAAGAATCATTTTGTTGAGATTAAATGTGTGGTCATGTCGTGGTGCCAGTTCCCATGTCAGAAGCATTCTTCCTAAATGGAAAGATGAGAGTTTTGAAATACTTGTTTAGACTCGTGTATGCAAATGTTGAAGGTGTTGGTTGAAAACATTGCTGGAATAGGTTCTTGTACTCTGCCAAACCTGGAAGTGTCAGTCAAAGTTGTCCTTTGAAAGGCTTTCACATTATGAATGTGCTGGTAGTACTTAGCAAATACATCTCTCCAGCTTCAGACAGATGATGTGAGTTTAACCTGACAGTGTTGTTGGTTCTCTGGTATTGAGTATCAGTCATCCTGTGTGAGATAGAGAGTTGGTCAACAACTTCTGTGCTGTGTCAGTCAGTGCACTGTGGTATTAGTATCCAGGAGACTCATGTGCACAACTGCCAGAAGAAACATCACTGAGGCTTTTTTTTATCAACATGAAAAGCTGAAACACATGTCACAAAATTCAGTATATAAAAGCCACAGTGTTACTAATAAACCATACAGCTCAGGTTGTGCAGTGAGTTATCACTGTTTAGCATTTTTCTTGTTCTTTATCTCTTTTTGAAGATTAATTATACTAGAGAGATCATACTGTCTGCGTGTCTTAGTTTAATGTCAGAGTAGAACTAACATTTCAATATTCTTACACCCCATTGATTACTACATTGAATGTTTCTCTCTTTTCAAGTATTGTTTCACAATAGCCAGCATAACACCAAAGGGAAAAATGCCACCTCTGTTAAGATTATATACAGCTTTGTGTTCTCAAGAAGCATTAGTTCTTGAATTTCAGGTGGGTTTCATTTTATTCAGGGTCTGAATTCAAAGTAGCTGTATTATAAAAGCATCTTCAATGAATTATCAGGTTTTATCCTAACCTAACTGTATTGGAAGGAAAATTACTTCTACTTTTGCTCTTTTCAGAGAGTTGTTTAAAACAGGGGGCTTTGTAAGCAAACAGAAAAGTCACAGACTAGATAGAGAGAGGTCATTCTGCTACAGTGGTGTTCAGTAACCTGGCAGTCACAGCTGAAATACAGATGTTTTTCTGTCTGCTTGTGGACTTGCTGGGGGATCATTGAGGGTGTTTTCTTAAAAACACTTTTCAGCAGGTTGCATTCAATCAGATGTGTTCCACATTCATAATGAAATACTTGCTTTCAAATGAAATTGCATATCCACTGAAGTGTGTGTTAATTTGAAAAGCGGATCAATTTCTGTGAAATCATGGTTCATCTAAGAACAAAGGGAATTTTTAGGAAAAAATCTGTTACTATCAGTATTTGTCTTGGATGTTGTGGCAGAAAAATCTTGAATGATTTTCTAAATTGTATTCAGTGTTGACTGTTTCTTATCAGATTTGGTAGCAGTGCTAGTATTTTAATCTTGTTCCAGCTTTAAGCTTTTATTTTTCCCTTGCTTGGTTATGTTCTAAGGTGATTTGCCCCGAAGACTCATCTGTTTGAACAATTCTTACTGGTTTACAATGTCACAGCTTCAGTGGCAGTGGCTGGGGAAAGGCTTGGTTTGTTCTATGTATGTCATTTGTTGCATTGGTATAAATCCTCAAGTATAATTCTTTTTGTTCTGTGGGGAGTTCGTATACTTTGGCTTGACTTAAAATGTGGACTTTTTTTCCTAGCACTTGAAAGATTTGTGGATTTGTTTTGTTCTTTGTTTTTTTGGCATTGGGCATAGGACTAGTAATACTTGATAAATAGGGGGTGGTTGTTTGGGTTT